TGTATGGATAGTCAGCTCATCCATCCGTCCATCCGTCCATCTTAGAAGCTGCAGATAATGGTCTGGGTTCACAACTGAATAGTAGGAACAAAGTGAGTTGGATTACCTATGTAAAGTTGCATAATTCTTTTAGTGACCCTTAATTTTTCTCTCAAATGAAGGCCCCCCTCTCCCCTCCTTTTTAATGCCAGAATCCTTCTGGAGATGATGTGTAGGGCCATGAGTCACGGAACACCGTCTTCTCCAAAGACTTAAAGTCGCAAGGCAACAGAAAGGTTCATCATCAGTGCGAGCAGGCTGCTGCCACATACAGACAAGGAGCTGCGCAGGAATACATGCATCAAGTGTCAGAATTATGCAATCAAAAATAAGATGACTGGTCACATAGAGCAAGGGAAAAGTCATGGCCAGGAATTAGCAGCTGATTGGACATGGAGGCTGTGGGGTCTGAAAGAACGAGGAGGCAAGAATGGCAGCTTGTAAGCCTGTGTGGCTGGCAGAATGGTGGTGTGAGGGCATGATGAAGTCCTGAAACTGGACAGAAGCGGTTGTCCTGGTAGCCTCTTTAAATGGAGGATCTGGAAGGGGCTCTCTGATATCTTCCCTCTCCCCTCCCCACATTCTTTTTAGTCAGGGAGAGGTAGGCCCTTCAAGGGGCAGGGGGCACTAAGAAGGTATATATACTTACGATATGCCAGGCACTGTGCTAAGCTGGAGATGCAAACAGAAATAGAAAGATAGTCCCTACCCCAAAGGGGCTTACACTCTAATGGGGAAAGGCAACATGTAAAAAGGGGGAAAATATGAGGGGAAGGGGAAAAACAAAGAGAATGAAGGTATCCAGCACCAGGGCATAGTAATGAAAGTGGAGGAATGAAGACATGGTTGGCCTGGGCCTCCTAATTAAAATGGAGATTTCGAGAAGAACCAGCCAACCTGAGAGGGGCTGAAAGGGCAGGAGTGTACTTCTATGTAAGAGGGCTGGAGTGAGCTTCCAAAGTGAAGAGGTTTCTAAGGCACGGTAGAGAAAATCGTAAAGAATAGGTGGGGCCAAGAACAAGTCATAAGAACAATCAATTTCATCAAAGACAATAATAATAATGAGATATCATACCATATTTTGGGGATGCAGCCAAAGCAGTCCTAAAGGGAAATTTTATATCTCATAAGACTTTCAGGAATAAAAGTGAGAAACAGCAGATAAGCCATTGAGCGGGCAATTAAAAAACTAAAAAGACAATACATTAAGAACTCATTTAAACACCAAAACACAGAAATCATAAAAATCAAGGAGATGAACAAAATTTAAATTAAAAATCAATAAAACCAGCAATAAATAGATAAACCATTAGCTAATTTGATTTTTAAAAAGAAGAAAACTAAATTAGTTTCAAAAATGGAAAAGGTGAATTCACAATCATTGAAGAAGAAACAAAAGAACTTACTAGGAGCTATTTTGCCCAGTTATATGCCAAGAAAACTGACAATCTAAATGAAATGTAAGACTATTTATAAAAATATAATATGTCACAACAAGAAATAGAGGATTTAAACAAAATATTTTTAAAAAGTGAACAAGCCATAAATGAACTAAAGAAAAAGACCCCAAAGCCAGATGGATTTATAAGTGAATTGTTTCAAACAACTGAAGAGCAATTCATTCCAATACTATATAAACTGTCTGAGGCTGTGCATCATGGCAAGAGGAGGTCCTGTATTCCATACTAGGACAACCCCAGAACCATACCAGATCACCACACTGGGGACAGTTTACAACTGGCAGCTTTGTTGCCTGCTACCTAGTTCTGGGTCAAAGATCAAGGGAGCACTGAGAAGAGGACCAGCACTCATGGTGACATTCTCAGATAGGGAGGCCCTTTGTATTGAGAAAGGAGTAAATTTAGAAGCAAGAAGCAGAGGTATGGCTCAGAATATAGTAGCAGATAAGGGTCTTAATGCCAGGATCTTGTCCAGCCTGCAAAGGAATAACCATGGCAGGAATCCCAGACCAAAAAAAGAGCCTACAGTGCTGTCACTCTGAACCAATGGAGCTTTCCAGCTAGCTGGTGGAGCTGAGCCCAGCAGCATCCGTGGCTCAGACCAAACTCAGTCAGAAACTAGCACAGCACAATCCAAGAGGGCAGCAATCAGACTTTGCCCTGGAACAGAGCTTACATTTAAAGCTAGCAAATCCCCAGCCTATCCCTAAAACCCTGAATAATAAAATACTCAGTACCCCAAGAAAGCAGTGAGAGGACCAGCCCAGAGCTTCCCTACAGAAGCCTGACAGAGCCTAGCCCCACCATCAGATCAGAAATCAGAAAGCAGGCTGGAGAAATAAGCAAACAAACCAAAAAATAATCCCACTATAAAGATTTATTATGGTGGCACAAGCTCAAAAGAGAATGACTCCAAAATAGCCACAAGCATTGCCTCAGAGCAAAAAAACAACACCAAGACTTCTGGTATTGGGCAGCTAGGTGGTACACTGGATAGATCATTGGCCCTGAAGTCAGGAGATCTTGAGTTCAAATCTGGCCTCAGACACATAACACTCACTAGCTGTGTGACTCTGGGCAGGTCATTTAACCCCAACTGTCTCACCAAAAAAAGAGAGAGAGAGAGAGAGAGAGAGACTTCCAGTATCCCGACCCCTCAGTTCTCTCCGAGTTCTCTCCTCTCTCTTTTCTTCAACTTGATCCCTGGGTGAACCCATTCAACTGTACTCTGTTCCCTTCTCTTGAATCCCTATCATATTACTGATTAGCCCTTCATCATGTTACTGATTACGCTCTCCCCAGCCTCAAACTTGGACCACTCCCACCATGCGCCCCCTTTGCTGCTACCTGTATGCTGCTGCATGAAAGTTGGGAAATATCACACGACCAATCTGAGAGGTCTGCTACAAATTTGTGAAACCACCTCAACCTCATTGTGGTGAGGCAATCCTTCTATCTTATCAACTATCTAGATCTCCCTAAGGCACCTACCCTCTAGAGCAGGTCTTCCAAACCTTTTCATCTCTTCTCAAAACTCAGTTGAGATCCTTGTCTCATTTTACAGAAAAAGTTGACACCATTCACTATGAACTCCCTCTTCTTTCCTCTTCCTTATCCCCTAGCATTTAGATCAGGGCTTCTTAAGCTGTGGGCTGTGAGCCCATTAGATATGTTCTGCCCTATGTCCTCTTTCATTCTTATTTCACTTGATGAAATGGCTCACTCCTTACCAAAGCCATGCCTATTGCAATAGTCTTCTGGTGGGTCTGTCTGCCTCAAATCTCTCCCCACTCAATTCCATCATTTATTCCGTCACCAAAGTGATTTTCCTAAAATGCAGACCTGATCATCTCATCCCACTAACTCAATAAACTCCAATGGCTCTGTATTACCTGTAGGATGAAATGCAAAACGCTGTTTGGCATTCACAGCCCTTTATAACCGACTCCCCTCCGCCCCCAACCTTTACAGTCTCCCTATATCTAATTCCCCTTACTCAATCCAGTGACGTGTGTCCTGGTGTGTTCCATGGGCATTTTCTCTGGCTGTCCCTAAGCCTGGAGAACTTTATCTCCACAATTTCACCTCTACTGATTTTACTGGCTTCCTTTAAATCCTAACTAAAATCCCATCTTTCATACTAAAAATTTCCCAACCCCACTTAATTCTAACATTTTCCCTCTAGTGATTATTTCCTAATTATCCTCTATATAGCTTGCTCTGTGTGTGTGTGTGTGTGTGTTAATTTATCTTGTCTCCCTCATTAGATTTTATGTTCCTAGACGGGTAGGAACTCTCTTGCCTTTTTGCATCCCGAGCTTAACGCAACGCTTAGCACACAGTAGATGCTCAATAATTGTTTATAGACTGATTGATGAAGGCTGAGGGGACCAAGAAAGAGCATTAGACCTGAGCTTTGAAGGAAACTAGCCAGAGGAATCTTATGAAGCAGAGATGTGGAGGGAGGGCAGTGTGCAGGGATCCAGCCTAGGCAGAGGCTGAAGTTGGCATGTCACCTGCGAGGGACAGCAAGACGGCCAGTTTGGCTGGGCAGAGGAGTAAGGGAAGGGGAGTAATATGTGATTCATAAGAAGGGGAAAACAACAACTTGGAGTTTTGCCATGTGTTTGGACCTCGGGGGCAGCAGTGTCGGCAGTAGTCGGCATTCATACAGTGCTTTGAGGTTTGCACGGCGCTCTTCAAACATCGTCTCATTCCGTCCTCACCACCACCCTGGTGCGGCACCCAAAAAGGCGAACGCGTCTACACTGCAGGACCCGCCTGCTCGGCGTCCCTACGGCCAGCGCACCCCACCACGGCGGCCTCCGGGGCACGCCTGGGCGCCAGGTTTTAGGGCGGATGCGGGACGGAGAACTGAGCTGCGGGCTTAGCCTGGACACCGGATGTCAGGGAAAACCGGGGGACAGCGTACACGCGCCGCCCCAGCCGCTGTACCCCGGGCACAGGGCAGGCAGGGGATGCCCCGGGCCCCGAGGGGGTGCGCGGCTGGAGGGAGCCCCCGTGCAAAGCGCGCCGCCTCTCTCTCTCTCTCCCTCTTCCCTTCGGTTTCCGTCGGTCGGCCATATATTCTCTCATTCTCCCGGCCGGACTCCACCGGCCACGTGCCACCTCCCTCCCTCCTCTTTGGAACGTGGCCCCCTAGAAAAACTCGTGTCAGACGTGCGCCGCTGAGCCCCCTAGGAGATGGCGTCCTGGGAAGCCAAAGACTCCGCCTCCTCCCAGGGCGCAGCTGCAGAGAAGACTCCATTTCCCAGAAAGCGCCGGGATCGCAGACTGGGCCTGCGCCTTCAGGCCGCCAGGCGCCAACGGGTTCCCGGGAGTTTCGGGAGTCGGCCTGCGCAGGCGTGTTGCAAGAGGAGGCCGGAAGTTCTCCGCTTTCCTGACTCGGTTCTTGGGTCCCCTCTGCTGCGCAGCTGAGAGACGGAGTTGGTGCGTGGGTTTTCGCGGAGCCTCCGCGCGCAAGAATGCGGGTGTCCGAGCTGCCCTGCAATTCCTCTCAGTGGATGCATTCTCTGCGAGGGTGGGCGTCCACCCCATGGAGACTTCGTGAGTCCCTGAATGTGACCTGAGGGGGCGGAGAATGTGTCTGCACGCGCACAGCTGAGAACGTGCGTAGGGAGCGTGTGCGCATGCTCTGATGGAGCGTTGTCGTTCTCCAAGGTCTTGGCCAAGTCACGTGCCGCGTCTGGGCTGAAGTTCGCCCTGTAGCGACTCGCGGAGCAGCCTCCCTGTGTCCCCGTCCCCCAGCCCCCAGCTAGCCTTTCTGTAGCGCTTTAAGGTCTGCAGAGTGTTGTCCACACGGGATTTCATGGGGTCTGTTCATGGTGAACGGGGTCAGCCCTGGCTGGGGGGAAATGACCCCTGTGTAACTGTTGTAGGTCTCTTATCTGTGTCCCTAAATATCTATTCTTCTACAAAGACAGATCACAAAGAATCTGGGTGGGACAACGAATAGAGCGCCGGATCTGGAGTGAGGAAGGCCCACTTAAGGCTCACCTCTGGCTTCGCACATCTTTCAGCAGTGTGACCCTGAGAATGTCACTTATCCTTTTCTGCCTCGGTTTTCTCATCTTTAAAATGGGACTGATAATAGCTTCCTTGCAGGGTGGTTGTGAGGATCAGATGAAATATGTACAGCCCTTTGTAAACCTTTCAGGGATTAACTAGTGTTAAGTATTATTACATATGTCTGTGTGTGTGTGTGTACCTATACATATATATATATAAAACAAAATATACATGTTAAATGTAATATATAAAGTAAATATAAATTTTATAATAAAGGTAAGAGCTTAGTAGGACACATTGTCGCATGAGCCATGGTATAAGTAGCAAGCTGGTGGTAGGTATGCTTGTTGACTAATGAATTGTCCACCCACCAGTTAAACCCTGCCAGTTAATCTAGTCTCAGTGCTGTAGTTCGGGGAATCTGAACCTCCAGTCAATGAACTTGGTTTTAAAAATATTTTAATGACAGTACTTCAATAAAATGATTTCCATTGTAATTCTAGGTATTCTGTTTTATGCTTCAAAAAGAGGATTCTGAGAAGAGCTTTTGCTACAGTTGCCAAAGGGGTCCATGTCACACAGAAATGGTTGTGGAACGTAGTTCCAGGGAACATGTTTCTCATACTGTGTGAGGTCCCACCTGCCCTTCCCATCTCTTGGGCCCATGTGATTCCCCCTATTTGTGTGTGTATGTGTGTGCTTACAAAAAGTGTAGACTAAGGTAGGTGATCTTATCTTTTTTGTGACCTTTGGTAATCAAGTGAAGCCTTTCAATCCTTTCTATGAATATTATTCAGAAATTAATAATTGAAAGAAGTAGGAAACTTCAGTTAGAGTTGGGGTGATCCATGGACCCCAGGACTAGAGGAAAATCTCATTGGCCTCAGGCTGTAGTTGTTGTTATTTTTCAGTCATTTCAGACCATTTGTGGTGGTCTTTGGGGTTTTTTTGGCAAAGATACTGGAATGGTTTGCCATTTCCTTCTCTGGCTCATATTATAGATGATGAAACTGAGGCAAATAGGGTTTAAGTGACTTGCCCAGGGTCACACAGCTAGTAAGTGTCTGAGGCCAGATTTGAATCAGGAAGATGAGTGTCCCTGACTCCAGGCCCAGCCCTCTATCCACTCTCCCATTTCCTCATTAAATTGAGGATTCTAGAGACCAGAGGTGGGCCCCTGACACATCCTGACTTCCAGCCTACTTTTTTCCTTCTGTCTCTTCTGATTGTGAATAATGCACTCTGCAGAGTCAGGGTAGGGAGACCAATTTCCGTTGGCTATGCCTGGGCCCAAGTGGGGAAGAAGGGACAGCCCATTCACTGCAGCCCCTCACCAGCTCCTCTCTTTGGAGGCTTTTGCCATACTCTGAAAAGTCACTGGCAGTTGACATGGTAGTGATAAAAATGTTTTTCACTTGCAGCATGGCGTTTTGTTGAGGATTTCTCAAGTGATTAACAATTTGTTAATCCAAAGTTAGCAAATCAGTGACAGTTTGACAGCTAGATGGTCCAGTGAATAGAGCCCTGAACTTGGAATCCAGAAGACCTGAGTTTTGACTCTGGCCTCAAGATACTTACTCGTTGTGTGCAAGTCACTTAACCTCTTTGCCTTAGTTTTCTCAACATTAGGAATAATAATGAAGACACAACTTCCAAAACAACTTTATTGTGAAGACCAAATGTGACAATATTTGTAAATCACTTAACACAGTGCATGGTACTGAGAAGAATGATTATTTTCTTTTTCTGTTAATAACCAATTTTATATACAGGACCCAAAGATCCTCTTTTTTATTATTAATAACCACTTATCATTAGGTTAGTTATTAGTAAGGTTTTTTCTCTTTTTTACTTCTCTCATTCAAAGCCCAGTCCTTGTGAAGGACAGGGCTGACCAAGAGACTTTCTCCTCCATCTTGGCTGGCACCCCACCCAAGTGGGAGAGCTTATCTCTGATTAAAGGGTAAATAGAATCTAATTTAGGTGAATTGGGGTCCATTATTTAACTCCTGGAGGACTGGGTGGAGAATAGATTCTTTTGTATAGATTGCTGGAGGCAGAATGATCTGGGAAACCACTGACATGATCAGAGTGCCCCTAGCCTCTCATTAGAAAAAGCCCACCTCATTATAATATTCATTTTTTCATTAATTGTTAACCAATCAGGGTTGATTTTCACCTTCAGGGACTTCTCCTTTTCTGAAAGTATTTAAACCTGTAGAGACTTGGATGCAGGGTCTTTGGTTACTGAGAGAACCCCTGACCTCAATTTATTGATTTCTTTAATAGTCTAATTACCAAATTGATTATTAATTACCTAAAAACTGTGTGTCTCAGACTTTTCATTAGGTGCTATGTAATTGCTAGCTATTATTATTGTTGTTACTATTTTTTTTTTTTGGAGGTAATGGGGTTAAGTGACTTGTCCTGGATCACACAGTTAGTGTCTGAGGCTGAATTTCCCAACTCCGGAGCCTGTGCTCCATCTGCCTGCTACACCTAGCTGTCCCTATTACTGTTATTTTTGAGAAGCTTCTGTTTTCACATTTAGGTGATTATTAATTAATGAGGAAACTAAATTACACAGTGATTGATGCTCTGGGCTTGAAGTCAGGATGCCCTGAGTTCATTTCCAGCCTCAGTTACTTTGTGACCCTGGTGGAAATCACTTCCCCTCTGATTTCCTCAGTTTCCTCATCTGTAACTTGGCGATGGATCAGGGGTGGGGCACCTGGGGCCTCGAGGCCACATATGGCCCTCCAAGTCTTCAAGTTTGGCCCTTTGAATGAATCCTTGGAACAAAGAACAAATCTTTGTTCTGTGATGTTTAGATTCAGTCAAAGGGCGCACTTGAGGACTTAAAGGGCAAGTGCCCCACCCCTGGGATAGATAATAATTGTACCTACTTCTCAGTGTGGTTGTGAGGTGGGAAAAAAAATATTGTAAAGTGCTTTCCTAACTATAATGCTGTATATAAATGATAATTAGGAGTATTTTAATGATGATGTGATGGCTGTTCCTTAAATGAGGAGGGTCATATCATATAGCACCTGGGGAGCAAGTATATGAATCCCCATCCACTTGGCCCCAGTTCAGGTCTAAATGCTATTGTTTGGGCCCTGATGTAAGCACAGAGCCTGGGTCAGGGTGTCCGGCCCTAGAGCCCATCTCCTTAATCTTTCCCTGCAGGGCCATGATTGCTCTGGAGGGCCCTTGGACCTCCCTTTGTATAGAGATCTTGGTGGTCACCCCTCTTGGTTGGGGATTTCCAAGCTGCTGAGTCTGGAAGCTACACATCAGGGTTGGTCTCCCTCATGGCACCTTTTCTAACCTCAGATCTACCTTCTCAAGACTCTTATCTTCCCCAAGAAAGGAGCACAGAGCAGGAGGAAGGAATGACCTCTGATCTCCTGTCAGAGCCCAGGTGAGTTGGATTTTTTCTCTCCCAAATTTCATTTAGGTTCATTTCTTAGAGCAGATAGGTCATCGTCCTTATCTTTGGTCTCTTCCCAACCATGTCCTGTTGAGGTACCAGAGCTCCAGTTTTTCTCACCTAGAAGATGGACCTTTTCTGACAGAGGATGTCAGGTTGATAAATTGTGAGAACAGAACAGAAGTGGACAGTAGATCACCCAGTCCCACTCCCTCATTTGGGACCTGAGGAAACGGAGCCCAAAAGATCAAATGTCTCGCTTGATCTCAGAAGGGGAAGAACTAGAATTAGATCCAATGTCCTTCTTTTAAAAAAAATAATGATTGATATCCTTTCCTTTTACACCATTTTCATTTCCTAATATATTCAGGGAGGTCCTGATTAGTGTGAATCATGAGTCCCCTGAAGTGGGTGCACCTATTTGAATTTACACAGTTACTGTAAACAACATACAGGGATGGAAATCCTTCTCCTACCTTCTCCGTTTTCCCTTCTTTCCTTCTTTTTTTCCCTCCTCCTCCTCATTATTTTTACATAATGTTTTATTCCTTTTTTGCTTCAGTTCATCCTTAACCACTTTCCTGAGCAACTCAAGCTATACATATAGCACTTAATAAAACCCTTAAAAATTCTAAGACACCAAAGAGGATGGTTATTGAGGCATTCCCTCAATTTCCAATTTTTTTTGTGAAGCATCTCTTAAAAGCCTCACTTTGTGCTCCCCAAGCAGCAGGGGCATCTATTCTTTTTCCTATTAACAGCCAGGTAGCGCAACATTGTCCCTTCCTCCAAAGAAGAATTGTACTGCACTGAGATGTTTCAGAGGGCGTTAGGGAGATCAGCCCATTGCATGTGAGGCAGTAGAAGTTGTGAGGGAAGGAAAGTTAGAGGGCCAGTCAAACTCTTTCATTTCATTGCTCTTAATATGTCTCTGAAATAATGCTGTGACGTACATAAAAGACTTAAAACCATAGTCTCAGAGAACTTAGAAATTATCTAGTATAACCTCCTACCCAGTGCAGAAGTTTGTTTTTTTAACATCCCCATCCACCCTCTCAGAATACTTCAAGAGGTGACAGGGTAATTATTTTGTGAAATAGTTCTATTTGGAGACAACACCAGTTATAGGATGTTCTTTCTTTATATTCAGCCTAAAGCTGCTTCCCTGTAAATTGTACCCCTTTGGTTCTAGTCTCCTGCATAGCTACAGGGAATAGCCTCTCTTCCATATGATAGCCATTCAAATAGTCAAAAATAGCCATTGTGTTTCTTCTGCAGTTTTCTTCCTTAGCCTAAAACTCCCCATTTGTTTCTCCTATTGTCCATATAATATCATTTCAAACTTCACACTTCTTACCATGCTAGTGCTATTCCTGTGACTCCACAGCACTTTATTAATGTCCCCCTCAAAATGTCGTGCCCAGAGCTGAATACTGAGCTCTAGATGTATTCTGATAGGTGTGTTATATAGTGAGAGCATCTTTTTTTAGTCTAGTCACTTTTTGTCTACAAATTGAGCTCCAAATGATAGAAGATATTTTTTAGTGGTCACAGAATAACTGTTGGTTTGTATTGACCTTGTACACAATTGAAACCTCCAGATGTTTTGAATAAGCACAGCCATCCAACTCACTCTGTCCAATCTTATCCTCGTACAGTTGACGTTTTGAACAATCACATTTATTATTCTATTTTGCCATCTTGTATTTTCTTCCTCTTCTATATTGATATTTCAGAAAATGTTGGCGCGAACGTCTACTCCTACTATAAAAACCATCACCCATACCTGTGAGTCATCGGTCACATTGATATTCCTTCCATGTGTTTTGAAAAGTTTTGAATAATGGTAAACGAGACAGGTGAGAATAGGGAACCCATGAGGTACAACAACAGGGAATTTCCTAACAATTGACATCAGTCTGTTAACTGAAACACTTTGGATTAAGTCACCGAGACATTTTTTAAGTCACTCTGTAGAATCTAAATTGTGAGCCTTTATCTTGTCCTCAGTGATAGTTTGAGAGACTATCCATTTCCTTTTGGAAAACAAGGTACTTTATGCATGCAGCTTCATTAGAGAGACATGCAAAGCACAGTGCTTAGACTGTTGGCCTTGGAGTAGGAAAATCTGGGCTCAGATCCTTACTCTCACATTTATGTGATGTGTTGTTATGGCCAAGTCACTCAGTCTGTATGACCCTCAGTTGCCTCATCTTAAAGTGGTTAATAATACCTGTAGTACTCACCTTATATGGTGGCTGGGAGGCTTAGATTAAAGAATTTAAGTAATGTGCTTTATAAACATCAAGCTGTCAGAGCTTAAAATGGCACTAAGACTTTTTGGTATACCCTCTTGAAGTGTCAGCTGCTGTATGGGTTTATTCCTCATCCAATCTAGAAGTTTTATTAAAAAAAGAACAAGTTCGATCTCTCAGTGTGCCCTTCAAACATACTGGGTGGGTGCCTCTAGGACAGGTTAGTTTGCCTCATAGTGCTTTGAGTTCTCCAAGACTACAAGCTGTAGAGAAGGGGCTGACTTGAATTAGGAGCCATTCCTTCACACTGGAGCTCACTCAGCCAATCAAATCACAGGTCACATTCTGGTCCAATTGATATCCTAAGAAATTTGTTCATATTTAACTCTTGCTCAGTCTTAGGAACCAACCCTATTTTCTTTTCTTAGATCTCCCAACGTATTTATTAATAGATTCCTGAATTTTCACACAGATGGGCATCAGGCTTAATGATCCAGAGTTTCCAGAATCTGCTTGTTTCTCTTTTTGAACATTTGAGTATTTTCCCCAAAATTACTAACAGTTTTTCTGTGAATGGATCTATAAATACTATGAGTGTTGTTGAATCTTTTCCTATCTCCTCACATGTCTTAAACTTTGAGTCCCTCTTAACAGTATTTATTCTTTGATCATCATTTTTGTTCATGAGACACAGAAGAATTAGAGAACAGTGAATTTTGATTGCTTTTTTTTTTCTTCCCCAGATTCCATTACTCTGAAGACAAGGTGTGAAAACTTGGAGTGGACTTCAAATCAGATTAATTCTCTAGGAGAGTCTGCTAAGGAGATAATCAGTAAGAATAATCCCTTTACTTCCAAATTGGAAGGAGCATGGGAATATGAGGTCAGGTCAGAGAAGCAGAAGGGGAATTGGAATAGACAATCCAAGGAAGTAATGAGAATTCATAGAAAAACTAGTGATGAGTTAAATGTTCATGAGTATAATATACTTGGGAGGACTTTTAATCTACTGTCAGTCATTATTCCACCACAGAGAGTTCCAACAGGAAAAATTCTCCAGGAATATGATACACTTGATAAGAACTTCAAAGAGTTTTCAGACCTAAATAAAGATACTAGAATTCCCTCTTCTATTTGTAAGTATAGTAAATGCAGGAAGCCCTTCACTTACCAGTCAGATCTCATTCAGAATCATAGAATACCTACTACACAGAGATCATATGAATGTCATGAATGTGGGAAATCCTCCACTAACAACTCAGTCCTTAAAAAGCACCTGAGAATCCACACAAGAGAGAGCCCCTGTAAGAGCAATGAATGTGGCAAAGCCTTTAAGCTGAGGCACTCTGTTTATGAACATCAGAAAATTCATTCTCAGAGGAGAGAGAAACCCCCTATATGTAATGACTGTGGGAAATCCTTCAGTTATAAGTCTGTACTCTGGACTCATCAGGGAATTCGCAGCTGAGAGAAGCCCTACAGATGTAAGGAATGTGGGAAAACCTTCAAGCACAAGTGCTTGCTTAATGACCATGTGAGAATTTATTCTGGAGAGAAGCCTTATAATTGTGCTGACTGGGAAAACATTTACCCATAGGACATCACTATTTATGCATCAAAAAATTCATGCTGGAGAAAAACCATATAAATGTGCTGACTGGGGGAAAGCCTGTGCCTACTGGGCAACACTTATTGATCATTGGAGAATTCACACTGGAGAGAAGCCTTTGAAGTGTGCTGAATGTGGGCAAACATTCAGCCGTAGATCATCATTTAGTACTCATCAGAAAATTCATACTGGAGAAAAGCCATACAGAGGTACTGAATGTGGGAAAGCCTCTGTCCACAAAGGAACACTTACAGAACATCAGATTATTCATACAGAGAAACCTTACAGATGTAATGAATGTGGGAAAACTTTTAGTCGGAAAGGCTGTCTTACTGACTATCAGAGAGTTCACAGTGAAGAGAAGGTTTTTAAATATACTGAATGTGGGAAAGCTTTCAGCCTGAAGCCTTCACTTATGCATCAGAAGATTCATACTGGAGAAAAACCATACAAATGTATTGACTGCGGGAAAGCCTTTATCTACAGGGGAGCATTTAATGAACATCAGAGAATTCATAATGGAGAGAAGCCTTTTAAATGTTCTGCATGTGGGAAAGCCTTTGCCAGCAGGGGAGTACTTAGCAAACACCAGAGAATTCACGTTAGAGTAAAACCCTTTATTTGTAATGAATGTGGTAAAAGCTTTAATAAGCAGTGCCGTCTTAATAACCATGAGAAAATTCATATTAGGAAGAAGCCTTTTGAACATCCCAACTGTGGGGAAACGTTCTGCTATAAGAAATTGCTTACTCTACATGAGAGAAATGATACTGATGAAAAAGATTTAAAGTGTAAGGAGTGTGGCAAAATCTTCAAGCAGAGAAGTTATCTTGTGGTTCATCAGATGATTCATACTGGAGAGAAACCTTTTGAATGTATGTAAGAAAGCTTTCGGCCATAAGGCAGCTTTTAGTCGGCATAAAAAAATTCACACTGGGGAGAAATCTTTTAAATATGCACAATGTGGGAAAACTTTCAGCCTAAGTTCATCTCTTATTTGACATCAGACAATTCATACTGGAGAGAAGCCTTTTGAATGTACTCAATGTGGGAAAACCTTTGCCCTCAAAAGATACCTTGTTGTACATCAGAGAATTCATACTGGATAGAAACCCTTTATATATCATGAATTTGGGAAAGCCTTCAGCAATACCTAGCTACGTTGGAGATATCAGAGAATTCATAGTGAAGTGAAACCCTTCAAATGTACTAAATGTCGCAAACGTTCAACCAGATGAGAACTTAACATCAGAAAATTCATAGAGGAGAGAAACCTTTTGTGTGTCCTGAACGTGGGAAAACTTCAATCGTCAGATATACATTGATCTACATCAGGGGATTCCTACAGCAGCAAAACTCTATGCAGCCAGTCAGGCGGAGGGGACATCATCTCTAATATCTCCAAGGCAGAGAGCTCACATTGCACTCATATCTACATGCAATGAACATGGTAAATCCATCAGCAACAGCTCGATCCCTAAGAAACACCAGCTAATTCACAGAGGGAAACCCTGTAATTGTAATAGATGTGGGAAAAGTCTTCCCTTAGTTTTATCCCAGTCCTTGGGAAGCATCAGAAAATTCATAATTGAGAGCATCCCTCCAGAATGAATGTGGGAAAGCCTTCAACTGCCATCTTATTTTTTTATTCTTTCTACATGGATTGTCCTCCATTCACATAATAAAAATTGTTTTGTTTTACCTTCCACTCCACTGTACCTAAATATTGAACATATTGGTCCTTCTGCTTTCAGGGAAATTAATAATTTGAATAACCAATATTTCTATATGATCCATCCGTTTGCAACTTCTGACAGACCCCATTTCTCAAGGACAGGCAGTTTCTGAAGGATTTGATTAAAGGAGAACATTCCCAGCCTCCAGGGCATCTGTTCATTAAACAATAAGGTCTGACTCTACATGACTTCATTTGTGGGTTTTCTTGGCAAAGATGCTGGAGTGGTTTTACCATTTCGTATTCTAGCTCATTTTACCAAGGAGGAAACTGAGGTAAGAATGGTTAAGTGACTTTCCCAGGGTCACATAGCTATTAAGTATCAGAGGCCAGAGTTGAACTCAAGATGAGCCTTCCCGACTCTGGGCCCAATACGTATCCACTCCACCACACAGTTACCTTAGGGATGCCCAAATGATGTAGCGTCAGGGCCAATGAGAAGAAACACCTAGGTTTAAAAGGCCCTGTCCACCTTCACTTTGGGTCTTTAGTCACTGACAGGGGCTACTGACTTAACTTACTGGATACTGCTAGCCTGACCAATAAGTTGATCACTCCAGAGCTTTTGACACAAATGGAAAAGGCTAGAGACCTCTTTATTAATAAGTTCAGAGCCCTATTAATAAATGATATCTTGCTTCAAAATGGCCTCTGTTTACCCCTTTGTGAAATTACAGTCAGGACAAACTCCTGAATTTATGTACATAAACATTCCTTTTTTTAGTATGCAGTACTGCCCTACCAGCCTTCTTTTACCCATTTGCTAATTTTTTTTTAAAAATAAAGTATAGCCATCCAAAGATGTATTACACTCATAGATTTCATACCAGGTAGTAGAGAGTAATTGGTAGTCAAGAGATTATTGAGGAAGAAGGGACTATAGCAAATTTAATGCTTCAGGTCATGGTGACCCACTCAGAGAAATCTGCAGTCTCATGTAAAAGTTGATAAGAGCCAGGTGAAAGTATCTTGGCAAGAAGCACATAGAAACAGTGACAATCCAAAAGGGGAACCTCTCCCCAGGTATGCAGGGTACCTTAATATTCCTTTCTAGGTCCTTGGCCTTCTCATATATACTGGGCCTAGGCAGTTTAAGTCCAGTTGATATTACTTATCTCTCAGTTTAAAATCTCTCTTGTGTATAAACTTTAGTTGGCTTAGAAGTATTATGTTAATGTAGTTCCAAGGCAGGCATGGCCTCCAATAGAAGCCACTGCCTCCTCCACCTTGCCTGTGCCTTATCCTGAAGTGGGATGCACGCTGTCTCTTCCCCAGCAGCCTTCTCACACTGGAGATGTCTCCATCCCTGAAGCTCCCTTGTCTGATCAGTTAAGTCTGCCTAGAACCGTTATTTGGGGAGGTGACCAGGATAGACACGCTCATTTCTCTCTCTCCTCTACTTTTCACACACCTGACTACTCTACCTTGTGCTTGGGAGCTTCTTCATCCCTTCCATCTCTCTCTTATCTGCTGTCTTTCTACATTAGAATTTAAGTTCCTAGAGGATAGCGACTTGGCTTTAAAAAAAAAAGTATTAGTATTCCCAGTCCTTGGCATAGTTCCTGAATTCTAGTAAATACTAAATGCTTCATCTAGCTCTGTTTATTATATTTAGCAACAAAAAAGCAAAAAGGGAGAGAGGGTAGAGATCATTGGATGCAAAACAACCTGGCTGACTACTGTCTTCAGGAGTAGAAATCACTCTTCTGCTTTAAATTCATGGGAATGAGGAAGAAACAACTTTGGAGAAGTCAGGCAGTGAGAGGGTCGCTTCCTTCCCTAAGTAGGAGACACAGAAGAGGGGAATCCTCTTTCCAAGAGGGAAATTAGGGTACCTCCCCAATTACAGTTCTCCATTCTTGCTAATATCCCTTTGTGTCTGTCTCTGTCATTCCCTTCTTTCCCACCACTTACCTCACCCATCATTCTATTAGACCAATGAAACAACATTCCCACTGTCAGGGGCAGCAGCAGAGTTGATGGTTTCAGGTACTCAGGAGGGAGAAGCTGGGGACTCAGACAGCTAGCTTCTACCCTGATAGTGCCAAGAAGGAAGATGTACCCCCCACTTCAACAGGTACTCAAAAAAATTGCAACTACTGCCTAGAAGTCTTGACTTCTTTCTTCCACAGATCCTCAGAAAGCTATCCCAGATGTCCAAGTTTCCAAATATCACTAGTTGGCAGTCTCTGAAATTGTATCTGCTTAAATGTCTGTCAACTCCATTACAATTCAGGCATGATACAAGCAGCAGCCATCCAAGACATGAATTCTGGTTTCCATCCATAGCTTCTTCCTTCTTTGGCTTCCTCTCTGTATTCTGAAGAGGAGTTGTTTTTTTTTTAATTTTAAATGTGACCATTCCTTTTCTTTCTATTAATCTCAGATTGGCTGGGAGGAGGGATTGGAGAAAAAGAAGATATTAACCCAGGCTGTAATACTGTTGCATTTTTTTTTTAATTTTAAACACAAAATAAGAAAAAAGAAACATTTAAATACTAAAGTTAAAATAATACAAAATAAGAAAAGAATAAAAAAGCATTGCCATGCGCGTAGCAGAACATGAGAGAGGATTCAATATATACAGCAATGCATTTCCATTTCAAGAAAGCCTATATAATAAACACTACCCATTGTGTTGAGAGCTGTCCGTCTTTTTTCTTTTTGCTTCCTTGTAAGTTTTCTTTTGTTCTCTGCACGTTTTACTTTGTTCTTTTTCCCCCTTCCTCCCCACCTCCTGAGAAGGCTACGACTAAGCATCGAGATAGATACACACATAAATACTCGAATGTATACTCACATGTATATGTATGTATGTACATATGCATACACATGCATATAGAGACAGACATACATACATAGACATACACATAAAAATATACGTATACACACATATACACATACAGATGTACACTTACACATATACTTGGATACAAATAATCATAGACATAGACATTCATATGCACATGTGCATGACTCTACTATACTTTTTCATCCTCTGTTTCTCTGAGGGGGGATAATCTCTTCCTTCATAAGTCCAAGTCTTTCCATATTTTTCCAAGTCTATCAACTCATTTCCTACCCACAGCAATTTCCCCACCTTATACTGGCTAGTTGGGGTTTTTTTGTTTATTTGTTTTGGTGAGTCAATTGGGGTTAAGTTGTTGGGGATCTGTAAGGATGTAGAGGGCCACAGGCTGTTCATGAGATCTCACTGATGGGCACAGGCCCCTCTCGGGTGTTGGTCTATGAGCAAAGATCGCCTGGTTCAGTGCTCCATTCTATGGATCTTTAACAATCTTTAACTCCCCTAGTTACTGTGTGGTCATTAGCAGCTCACCTGTGATTGGAGACAGATAAGTGCACAAGATGTGCATGCACTGCCCTTAGCACAGCATGGGCTCTACGTCATTATAACTTGAGAAGAAGTTCCTGTTACTTTACTACTTAAGTGAATGCTTTGTTTAAATTAAACGGAGTTGCTTCCATCCTGTCTCCTGCCTCATCAATGCACATTGGAGATAGAAGGTTAAGCTGGTCTTATCCCTTCAAAGTTAGTATGGGATCCTTGCTCTTGTGGTGAGCTGAATTAGTTGTGTACAACATTAAGTGACTTGCCCAGGGTCACACAGCTGGGAAGTGTCATGTGTCTAAGGTCGGATGTTTAGTTGTTTTAAAAGGCCCAAAACAACATTAATAAATATGGCTGACACGTAGTATAGTTTCCCTGTTTTTCTCTTTTTCTCTTTTGATTAAATCTCTTTAAGCTTTAACTTTGTCTGAGGTCATGACTACTACCCCTCTTCCTTTTTCCCTAATACATTCTACTCCTGATCTTTATTTTATGTTTGTGCATATCTCTTATTTCCTATGCCTCCTAAGTCCTCTACTTTACTTCTACCTGCTACCTTGCCCTCCTATTACTTAACCTACCCTCCTCCAAGGATCCCTTACTTATCCTCCCATTCCCATTAATTTAAATCCCCTTCTATATCCCCCTTTAACCTATTCCCTCCCCCTTCCTCTAAAGATCTCTCCCTTATCCTCTCCCCACTCCCTCCTCTTAGTGTTTTATTCCTTTCTAAATTTAGAAGACTTTTACATTCTAGATATATATATATGTATTGTTTCCTCTTGAACCCATTCCTGATGAAAGTAGGTTTCCAGAACTAACCAGCCCTTCTCTACCATCTAATTCCTCTGTGTCAGTTCTTCCTCTGGCACCTCATTTGTATAAGATAATTACCCTTTTTGCCTTTTCCTGAACGGTTTTACTTGTTTAAATCACATCATACTCAGGTCTACCTCAATCTTTCTTATGAACTACCCAATTACTAATAACAATCTTACATTTTACATTTTTCATGTATTTTTAAAAGCCCAGTTTACTTGTTGCCTTTACTATCTGAATGTGTTAATAAATCACATGATCATGAACAACAAATTGTTAAATCCTGTGAGTTTAGGGAGTCGTAATTGAAGGTGGGACTCTAGCCCCTAGGAAAAAAGGGAGCTTGAGATATTTGTAGGCAAAGGATTTTTGGTGTAATTTCTAAGGCTGTACTCAGATTGTCGGGCATTCTCAGGGTTGGGAGCCACCAAAATGGTCTTGCAATAAGGTCATTCGTAGGTAGCGAGAGCACCATCCAGTAGCTAAACATGGTGCTCGTTTGCTTACCTGGCTGAGTAATGGAACAGATCTCAAAGCAATGATTGTTCTTCTTATCAACATGGAGCAAGGGAAAACCAGTTAGGAGTGAGCCGCCAAGGTTGCTACTTCACTGATCTAGTACGACAGCCTGTACTGTTTGTTAACTGACCACAATCTGTCACAGGTGTGAGCTGTTTTAGTCCTCTAGCTTAGTTTTGTGCTCTTTTGATTTGATTTGTAAACTTGTGGAGTCCAGTGTGTTCTAGCCAGCTTTTGTGAGATGAACTGTGTTTCTGGGTTGTCAGGAGCCAAATAACTAAGG